GGGGTGAGCCATTTGGTTGGTTGATGGTGCATGGAGGGGACTGTAACCATGGCAATGTAACAATATATGAAAGGATGAAGGTGAAGCTAATATTCTCCATGTAAACTATCACATAATTCACAATAAAACATTTTAAAAAAACCGAACATGCTAAATATGGAAATTACCTTTAAAAACTCTGATCACGAGAAATTTCAGACGTATTAAGAGAGAATTACACGATACACTTTGATGTACCCAGAACACAGCTTCAATAATTATCCACCCACAGCCCAAACTACTTACAGCGCTTCTAGCACCACATCAAATGCTCATAAGCAAAGTTTAGACATTACAACATTTTGTCTATACATATTTCAGTGTATATACTTTCAAGATAAAGATTTCTTTTAAAACATAGTCATGGTACAATTTGCTCAAAAACATTGAACAATTATTTAATATCATGAAATGACAAGCCAATGTTAAAATATTTCACACTGTTTTGCCTTTTTTTTTTAAGTTTAAATCAGGATCCAATTAAACACCATGTACTGCAATTAGGCATGCTTAACTTCCCCGTATCTTCTCCCTGCTTTGCTCTTAAGTGATTTATTTAAAGAAACTGAAAGCATGCAATTTCAGCAGACACTTGGTTGCTGTTATTTGCTGCCACTGAGTTAACTCTGAGTCATGACGACATTAGGTTTGACTTCCTGGTCCTGCACTGTCCCATGTTTGAGCACATGCACTGGTGCTCTTTTCTCCTCTCTCCATAGTGCACGGTAAGTACTAGAGGTAGCCAAGTTCTCTGTCTGAAAAAAATATTCACACACTTTAAGATGGCAATAATAAAGTATATAACACAGCTGTCTTCATCCCCACAATGATAAATTTATCTGTTATCATCTTAATTTTTCACTCAGATTATTTAACCCAAACGTTAAGATTTTAAATGGAAATATTTAGAGCTAAAAGAGGAACTTATTAACAAAGTTGCAGGGTATATGGTCAACAAACAATCATTTGGGTGTCTATATGCCATCAATGAAAGGCAAGTCTGAAAGGGAAATTAATGGGAACAATTCCATTTACAATAACATCTAAAAGAATAAAATACTTATGAATAAATTTATCCAGGGATGTTAAAACTTTATACAATGAATATTATGCAGTATAGCTGAAAGGGAGTACAGACCATTTAAATAAGTAGAAAGATGTTCATGGCTTGGAAGACTTAATATTGTTAAAATCTCAATACTATGCAAAATGATGAATAAATTCAATGTGGGGGTGGTGGTTATATGCTATGGAGTCGGTTTTGAATCATAGCGACCCTGCATAGAATTTCTACGGCTGTAATCTTTACAGGAGCAGAAACTCTCATCTTTCTGACACAGAGAGGCTGCTAGAGTCCACCTGCTAACCTTGCAGTTACCAGTCCAACGCTTAACTCACTACACTACCAGAGATCCTTAAATTCAATGTAATCTCCATCAAAATTCCAACAACCTTCTGTACAGAAATGGAAAAACCAACCCTCAATTTTTTATGGACTGACAAGAGGCTCCAAATACTCGCAAGAAATGTTGAAAGGGAAGGGCAGAGGAGGAGGACTCACACCTCCTGCTTGTAAAGCATACTGTGTATACCAAAGGAGCTCTGGTAGCGTAGTGGTTACGAATCAGGCTGCTAATGTCATGGTCAGCAGTTTGAAACTACTAGTTGTTCTGTGGAAGAAAGATGAGGCTTTCTGCCCCCCTAAAAATTTACAGCCTTGGAAACCCTATATAGGGTCGCTATGAGTTGGGACCAACTCTACGGCACATAACAACAACAACTAACTATCAAGCTGGTGGGACCAACTCTACGGCACATAACAACAACAACTAACTATCAAGCTGGTAGTTCAAGTCCACCAGCCACTACTTGGAAACTCTATACAGAGTTGTTATGAGTCCGAACTGATTTGATGCCACTTTAAGAACAACACCACACATCTACAGTAATCAAAACAGCCCAGTATGGATGTAACAGACACAGACTAAAGTAATTGAACTGAGTGTCAAAAATAAATCCACATATCAAAGATCAACTGAATTTCTTTTTTTTTTTTATTGTGAAGGTTTAAATCACACATTTTACATTCTTCAAATCACACACATTTTGTTTCATCTCAGTGACTGCAATCCCATAATGTCACATCTCACTTCTTCTCTGGATTTCCTGTTTCCGTTTCTGTTCTGCCTTCAGCCTTCGGAGCTTTCTCCTTGGGAAAATGCTGCCCTTTTGCTCTCACATGACGAGTGTGAGGTATGCATACATCACTAGTGCTATGCCCCCCAATAGACCTGTCTACTGCTGAGCACTGAGCCACTGGGGTGAGCTCACTTCCAGACCTGAGGGATGACTAAGAGCCATAGTCTTATGCTTCCCACCCATCTCAATAAGATGACTGTTGGACCATTTTCTCTGTGCTGGTCTCTTCCTGTTCTGGAATTCCTATCACCTGTGAGCTGTTCCTCTTTACGGTGTTCCACAGAACTCTTTGGCTCTCTTTGGCTATTTTCATTCTTTTTTTTTGTCCTGATTGTTCTTCTAGTACACTTAAGCATTGAAAGATTTATCTACAAGCTCACTAATTTGGGCTTCTATTGCTTCAAATCTACTCCATTGCCCTTTGAATGTATTGTCCATTTCTGAACTCTGTATTTCTTCTGTATTTCTAATGGCAGGCTTTGAATAGTCTCAGACTTTGCATTTACTGTATCTGTTCTGTGGTATTTTCCTGAATTACTCTAAAGTTTATTCGTGTTCTCCTTGCTTTCCTCGCTCTTTCTGTCAATTGTTTGAAGGTACCGAAATATCATTCTTTTGAATTCTTTTTCAGTTAGTTCCATTACCTTTTCTTCCTCAGAAATGTTTTCTGCTTTTGTGTCTTGGTCATTTGTTTGAACCATTCCCTCTCGTTTCTTTGTGTGAGCTACAGTTGTCCGTTGTCTCTGGGGTATTGTGGGGTTGTCATATTTGTAATTAATAGATGACTGTATGTTGATGTGTTTTTAGGCTCTCACCAACTGGGTCCTGTGGGTGTAGTTAGAGAATGGAAGCATGTACACTGTTCTTGTTTGCTGTTTGTACACCTGAGTTTATGGTGGACTTGGCTGGTGTTGGCTGCTTTCTATCATCGATCAGGTAGTACAGGAGCTGGATACTGATGCAGAGGGTATGGCTATGGTGTGCTATAAGGGCATGATTGCTGTCTATTATCTGGTAGGAAAGAGAAAATCCCTCCCCTCCACATACAAGAAAACAAAAGAGAGTAAACAAGGAGATAACAATGAAAAGAAAAAAATAATAGCAGCAACCAGAAAAAAGAACACCTATAAAGACAAAAGAAGGATAGGTAACTGGAGCTATAGAAGAGAAAATGAAATGAAGAAGTAAAAAAAAAAAAAAAAGATATCAGAATACCCAAAAAGATAAATGAGGTCAAGGAAAATGGAACCATGGAAGAGCAAAATAAAAGAGGAAACAAAAGGAAGGAAGAACTTTGACAAAACAAAACAAAAGAAAACCAGAGAGGGACGGTGAAACAAACAAGAGAGAAGAGAGTAGTAAAGAAAGGTCAAAACGGAAATGAGAAACAGAGGAAAAGAGGAAAAACAAAAGCAGAGATAGAAAAGATAGGATTCAAGGGAATGGAAAGAGCCGAAGTAAGAGATGGAATAAACAAACAAAAACAATGAAACAATAAAGGAAAATACCAAACTCAAAAACAAAAACAGTGCAGTTGTACCCGGAGAGGAGAAAATTCTGGGGTGCTCCCGCAAGCCAAGGGCTCACGAGGTGGGTGTGGGAGGGATATGACAGCAGAGTCCCTGGCCCTAGATGGACTTCCTGTTGGTCTCTGTGTTATTTATGTTTAGGGCACTCAGTCAGGAAGCAGTTTGTTGAAGTCCTTGATGGAGCTGGTTTCAGTATCTGTTAAGGCCACAGAGCAGATGGGGGCAGGGTGACTGGTTCAATGCTGGCCTGATGGTTCTGCATCCACACAACCAAGTGGTGTATCCCAGCAGCCGGCCCCCACGTCACACTGCCATAGCTCCCAATCCCGTGGCTCTCAACAGTAGAGCAGGGTCAGTGCTGGGGATGGATAAAGGTAGAATCTGGCCATACCTCTGGTCACCAGGGACAAATAAAAGGAATCACACCTCTCTCATCACCTGTGTCAATCTGCTCTGTCAGGCCTGCTGATGTTGCTAATGCTGCTCACAGATGGTCACGCCCCATCCGGCCGGCAGCTCCCCAGTCAGTCTCCCTCTCTCGCCACCCCTGCTCAGTTTCTCCTCCTAGCAAGCACGCAATCCACTTTTCTAATTCCCTCTGAAGCTCAGGGTTTCAGAGTTTTCCTCTCTGTTTCTTTGTTGTAGAGGGTCCGTCTGGTGTGTCTTCCTCGTCTGCCATCTTTCCAAAAGGCAAGACTTGCAGTTTTTGATGCTGCTCTGTCTACCAGAACAAACTCAAGTTCTTCCCTTAAATAGATATGGTAGCTAATCAGTTAATCCTTGTTACTTGCAGTACTTATATAAACTCACCATCAACACTGAACTAGCTCTAAGGGTAGATACAGGTTTGATTCCTACAAGCCTCTACTTAGTACATTTTTAACTGACAAAATTGAAAAACTGACAAAATCTTATTGATTATGCAATGCTGATTAGTCAAGAGAAACCCATGGTCAACAACATCATAACTCATGCCTGAATTAAACTTATTTAACTCATGTTATTTTTTTCTGTAAGGCACATCACAGTCTTAGGGTCAGGAACAATAGACAATCCTTCAGCATTGCATTTGTTGTTTTTGTGAAGTGTCGTTGAGTCTGTTCTGACTCATAGCGAACCTGTATAGGGTTTTAAATCTCTGTCAGAGCTGAAATCATCATCTCTCTCCTGTGGAGCAGCTGGTGGGCTCGAACTGCTGCCCTGGCTTATGCTATGGAGCCACGATGTGAAGCCTTAGGCAGTGGGTCAGTATTGGCAAGTTCGGTGTCTTCTTTATATAATTACTGCAAATTTGTTGTTGTTGTTAAGCTACATTGAGTTGCTTCTGACTCATAGCAAGCCCGTATAATAGGGCTTCTGAGGAGCGGCTGGTAGATTCGAACTGCTGACCTTGCAGTTCAAAGTGATCTTGTTATCCAGTTTTGATCCTATAGCGCCACACTAAATAGAGGCTGCAAAATCCAGCAAAAATCACACAAATGCATAAACCGTGAAACTAAATAGCCCATGAGGAGGCTAGTTATGTGCAGTACAACAGGTAAACAAGCAGTGACCTTGGATGGGAAGGTGAGTGTCAGGTGATTCCAGCTTTCCTTGCTCTGCCTGCACAAGGGAAGGAAGCAGACACAGGAGACTGGTTCATTATTCAATAACCATTAAACCAGAATGTCTACACGGCAAAGTCAGTTTGAACCACAAGGTTAGCGGTTCAAGCTCACCAGCTGCTCCTCCGAAACCCTATACAGGGTCGCGATGGGCCAGAATCGACTCGATGGCACTTCACAACAACAAACCAGAATGTGATATATATCATAGGCCGTACATTGAAGAGATTGCAAAGACTAGTAAGAATTTTATCTTTTCCTATTGTTGTTGTTGTTGTGAAGTGCCATTGAGTCGAATCCGACCCATTGTGACCCTGTATAGGGTTTCCGAGGTGCAGCTGGTGAGCCTGAACCACTGGCCTTGTAGTTCAAATGACTTTGCAGTCTGACGCATGAGCCCACAGCGCTATAGCCAAGGATACATAAGCTATTTCATTAACAGTCTCAGAACAACTAATCCCCATGTAAGAAGATCTGAACACATCATTTGTACACACATCTAAATTCCTGTGTAACTGTTGTTGCTAAGTGCCAGTGATTAAGGTTCCGACTCATAGCGACCCTGTAAAGGGTTTCTGAGGAATGGCTGTTGAGTTTGAACTGCCAGCCTTACGGTTCAAGCCAATCTTATGGTCGAGTGCTTATCTTACAGCGCCATGCCAGGACTCCTCACGCCTGTTTTCCAAAGGGTAAGATAACCTCCTATCTTTTGGATAGACGATAAAGTTGCAAATCAGAGCTAAATCCCAGCTGGAGGCAAGCTCAGGAACTACGAGACAAAGGCATCATTTTCTTTGACTGATTATGTTTAAGAGATGCTTCCAGGTCTTTGAGGGAATATTCCTGGTTTGTAAAACTGGCAAAAGGATGTACAGCCTTTAAAAGGATTTACAGAATTTCAAAGAGGCAGAAAAATAAGTAATCTGACAAGTTTTCTATAGAAAAGCGAGAAGGGCAAGTCTTTCTTTTGGCTCAACAGGGAGAATTAAGGAGACTCTTTGTGTCTTTTTTCTCCTTTGTAGTTGCACATCCAGTGTCAAGTACTGTGAGTACTGACTTTGGGGTTAAAAAAACAATTTTTAACCCCCAAAAGTTAAAAAGTCAGTAGGCAAATTCAAAGAATCAACAAATAGTGAGGGCTGCCAGTGTGTTTCCAAGATGCAAAAAACATGACCAGAATAAGAGCAGGCAAAAGGAGGCTAAAGCGGCCACAGTCCAGACATCTCACAAGGCAAAATACTCACTTCCAAGCCCCTAGGCCTGCTTGCCATCCATCTGCAAACATCAGTGCCAAATTCAACACCTTCATGATGGCTTCTTTAACAAAGCTAACCTAGAAATGAAAATTATGGTATAATAACGCTTTACATCATGTTTTGGACATCAACACTTTTTACTCAATTTAAACAAGTCACAGAAAAAAGTCATGAGACCAATGAATGCTTTCTATGTATAAAACAAGGTGCTAGTCTCAGAAAACAGCAATCTGACCCAGACGCTGATGGCACCCACCATAGAGGCATTATAAGCATCATACAAGCAACCAGGCACACTACCATTTCTTGGAACACACATTAAAATTCACCTACAAAATGGGTCAAGTAATTCTAATGGATATATTTAATTCCATATAGTCACCCTAAACTGTACCCACTTTCTGACTACAGCACTGTTACTCCAGAACTATAGGCAGGATGCACCAATGAACACAAGTGTAAAGCAGGGTGAGTAAGGTGGGCACGCCCATGGCCGCTACACAGTTTCTATGGTGTCTCCTAAACAGACTTTCCAGGAGCGTGGAAAGTATATCATTCCTTAAATTCATTATAGGACATTCTGCAAAATAGGAGCTTAATAATATAAAATTCCAAATCAGATAAGCCTGACTCAGTAGGCATGTTTCCAAGAGGCGTCTGATGTACCTTTTCTCTTAGCAGACATCGATCATGGATGGTAGACAAGTATCTATAGTGAATTTTAATCAACTGATCTAAATCCTTGGCTTCCTCGACTTGATGTTGGAACTCCAGCCCTGTGCTGTGAAGAATCTTTGAAGAGAAAGAGGAAAAGGTTAGTGAGCAGACTTCTCTAGGGGCTTGTGAGCTGCATAAAGAACTTTTTACCAACCTCTTCCACTCCTCTCAAATTCTTCCTTCAACTGCTATAAAGTGCTATTTTTAAAGGCTGACTTTGTAGTGCCTTTAAAACTTTGTTGGGATCAATCCATTAGGACACCCACTTCCATAAGTGATGAATACTTTACTTTGGACTAATAGACTATTCTTGAGGTGGGTATGGGGAAGGGGTAGGTAAAGGGTAAGTAAAATGAACTGTATATAAACACATGGAAGAACCCGATCAAAACAAACAAACAAACAAAAACACATCTCTGGTAGATCTGTTGTAAATGTTCACGGTCGGTTTGACCCGCAAGGCCAGTGGTTCAACTTTACCAGCTGCTTTTCGGAAACCCGATACAGAGTTACTATGAGTCGGAATCGACTCAATGGCACTTAACAACAACACAATACAGTGAGTTGCAGTTTGTAAGTTCCATTTTTTTTTTTTTTAATATATATTATCAGCCTTTCTTTAAAGGAAGCATGGTGGAGTTTGGAAAATAAAAAAAATCGTACAGCTCTACCACTGGTGCACAGCCGTGAAGGGCTGAAGCTGGCTCTCCGAAGACCACCACCACACTATGGGACTGAGAGGAGTACCCTGCTGCCTTCATCAAGTCCAAAACTCAGGCTTCCAAGCTCATCTCATCCAAACAAGAGTGGTTTTAGAACTTACATACCACAATGACTACAAATCAGATTTGTTTCTAGAAACAATACTTAAACCCCAAAGAGCACTGTGCTCCAATAAACACTGCTACTGGTTAGATCTTTCAACGACTCTTTTAGAACTTCCTCTAGATCTGGTTTTGAGATATATTAAGAAAACTGGTTTTGTTTACTTTGTAGTTACTCCTTGTTTTTAAGAAAGGCAAACGTATATAATCTGGCTGCATCTTCTTTCTATTTCACACATAGAGAGCCTAAGAGATTTTGGCTGTTTTGAAAACCGGAGTTATTTTGAAAGCGTAGCTCTGTTACCACTGATGAAATTGAAAGGGATTCTACAGATTATGCAGCAAGTTCTAAAGGTAATTCCAAAAGAGGTGTTCTGATAGTGCTCACCCACAGGGGAGACTACATACGAGGACAGAGGTCTTTTGGATATACATTTGGATAGGTCTGAAAAACATTCCCTGTGGCTGTCATGATACTTTAGAATTAAAGTTGTTATGTGTCCTGTTTTTTGCATTTACATAGTTTGTAAGCATTCCCTGGGATCCTCTGCATTTACAAATATACTTGTAAGTAATTCTCCGTAACTAACTGTCCCTAAGGCACCAGCAGAGGCAGTGTGAAGATACAAACCCTGGTCATGATGTAGTTGTGCAAGCTGTTCACAAAATGCATGAGCTTCACTCTTAAGAGAAACATCCGATGAATCTGCTGTCGTACAGATTCCTTCTGTGGTCCAAACGGCGCATTCCTGTCTTGTTCACGTGAAAGTCCTTCTTTCAGTTGTGGTTTTTCCGAAGCGCTAACCAGCTCTACGAAAGATTGAAAGAACCTCTTTCAAAGGACGCCACCTTTCCCACTAGAAATGAAGGAGCGTTCTGAAGGCAGTGGCCACTCTGCCAAAGGCAGCTCAGGGATCCCAAAGCCTATGTTTTTGAAAAGTTCTCCATATCACATCACAACTGTCATTTAAAGTGTAAATGCTAAGTCCTATTAACTTGACATTTAAAAACTTTATAGATCCTAAGAAGAATGTTTATTCTGGCTAAATTTTTAATCAACTTCAGATGGACTGAACACATCATTTCTAAGCATTTCACTAGAAGACATTAATATTGACATTTGTAAAGCTGTTGCTACAAAGGCAGGTTATGTTGGCTTTTGTGTGCATATAAAAAATGATCCAATCACTCCCACTCCGTCGGTACACAGGGTTGACAGGTATGGGCAACTCAGACATTGTCTACCCATAATGGGGGCAGGGGGCTATAAAGGCAAGTAGTGACTGGCTTACAAGCTTTCAAGAGGGAGTCTAGCTCCAGACAGGGCAGGGGTAGGTAGAACCTCCACTGAATGATTTCCAATCTGTTGGGACCGGGCTGGTGAAAGGAAATGGGGATAAGACTCTTGTGGTACAATAGTGAATAATTGCCATCAGGACTGATTGTGAGGGTAGGAAATATACAGGTAGATGTTTTTTGAAAAAAGGAGCGGAGTGATTGATTTTGCAGCCCAGGAGCAGAGGTCCATGAGACTATCAAGTGAGAAGAGCGGAAAGTGTGACCCTACCAAGAGAGGCAGTGACGCCAGGGATGGAGACAGAGATGATGGCATGGACAGATGGAGTAGCTGGGACACTGGACTCAGGGAGGGAGAGGGGCTGTGTGCTGATAGCCGGGGGCCGGGCCTGTGGGGTGTACCCTTTGGTTATTTGATAATGCATGGAGGGGGTTGTAATCATTGCAATGAAATGAAATACAAAAGGATGAATGTAAAACTGATGTTCTCCCATGTAAACCTACATAATTCACACACACACAAAAAGGTTCCGAGACTACAAAACTCTTTTCAGGACTAAAATGAAATTATAATTTCATCTTTAAAAAACTTACCACCAAATAGTAAAACATCCAGACTATATTTAGCCCACTTGATTTGCAATAAAAGAAGGAACACCTGATTGTAAATTTTTTGACATTCCAAACTTATAACAATGTCCACAGGCCATGGCACCTGTGAAAACAAAACAACAACAAAAGAGAACCGGATGATTAGAATGGAAGGTCATCTACAACACGTATGTTTTAATTTTCTTAGAAAACGTACTTAGTAAACATTTCAGCACATACCTTGTAGCTCAGGGTCAGACCATCTAACATATGAACAGGAAGTTTCTTCTTGGCTGTGTCAACATTTTCAAAAGATATAGACAGACTAAATAAAGAAATTTTAGTTTTAGCCTGTGAAAATTACTGTGTTCATATAAAAATTTTCTCTTAAGAAAATTAGCATTTAAAAATTTTATATAGTGTCTACAAAAGACAGTGTGATTTAATAAGAGAAATATAACTATTCTAATAAATATAAATACATTTTTAGCATATATCACACAATAGAAATTTGGTTTTAGAAACAAGAAATGGGAGGAAACTTCAAAACAATAGGTTTAGCTGTAAGAGTTGTCAAGTTCCACCGAGTCAGTTCTGACTCACAGCGACCAAGGAGCAGATGGTGGGAGTGAACCGCCAATTTTGTGGTTAGCAGTCCAGTGCTTATCCTAAGGTGCCACACCAGCCATAAGAAAAAAGATACTTAACAATAATAATAAGTTAATTAGAAAAAAGGACAAAGTCAGGGAAGAAGACAGATGGCGATAGGCTGGTAGGTTAATTCTTGTAAATTTCAAGCACTATGCTCAGAAAATTGACCTTCTATTGCAAGGTCTTTGCTCAGGTTTGAGAAGAGGAGTGAGTGCTCAGAGTCGGAGGCAAACTTGTCTGAGCAAGTTGGGGATAGGAGTCTGTCTCTACAGCAAAGATGACATACACTGTGTTATCCATTTATCCTTACATTACTTTGATTCTCAAAAAACAGATTCCCAAAAGAAAGCAAGCAACTAACAGAGTTCCTGGAAATGTACATGTGCAGGTGCCACATGGGAGCTTAGATCCCAATAGTGGTGATGCCTAGATGCACACATACTATGTTGTTATTGTTATGTACTATGGAGTCAGTTCCAACTCATAGCGACCCAGCATATGGTTTCTGAGGCTGTAAATCTTTACTGGAGCAGAAAGCCTCATTTTTCTCCCGTGGAACAACTGGTAGTTTCAAACTGCTGTTCCTGAGGTTAGCAACCTGATTCGTAACCACTACACTACCAGAGCTCCTTAGATGCATACTATTTTGCTGTTGTTAAGTGCCGTCGAGTCGATTCCGAACCATAGCAACCCTCTAGAGGGTTTCCAAGGAGTGACCAGTGAGCTTGAATCACAAACCTTGCAGTTCAAACTGACTTTACAGTCTGGAGCATTAACCCACAGCACCACATCAGGACTCCAGATGCATACTATGGACGTTTTAAAATACAAGGGATAGGGGGTAGTGGTTAGCCTTCAAGTCTGAGATGTAAACGGCATATGGGAATAATCCTTCCATGTCAAAAATATTTTGGCTTATAACAGACTGCTAAATCTAAACTTACTCAATGCTTAATAGGAATGGACTAAATGCCTTAATTACTCATCAAGTGCCACATTGGTGGTGGAGTTGGTTCCGACCCATAGTGACCCTGTACAGGGTTTCTGAGGCTGTAAATCTTTACTGGAGCAGAAAGCTTCATCTTTATCCCATCGAACTGCTGGTAGTTTCAAACTGCTAACCTTGAGGTTCGCAGCCTGGCTTGTAACCACTATGCTACCAGAGCTCCTTAGCACCATACTAAGCATGGTGGTATGTGCTTGATCCCTTCTCCTTTTAGAGTTCACAGCTCAGTGCAAACAAATGGTCTCATCCTATTAGATAAAGTAGGGCTAGGCCGAACTATGTGACAGGGCAGGACACTGCTGGTTCACCAGAATGGAAGTGCACTACAAAGGGTCTTCAAAACGTTCATGAAAATGTGCATCATGCAATCTTGCAATAACAGCAATCTACGGGTAGATACAGTCTCAGACACACAGCTGAATGGATAGGAGAGGGAGACTACAAGTGTATACATAAAGATATATAAAGGTCTGACAGGATATTTGGACATGGGTATTTTGCTGTAAGCATATCTATGAATGTGGTGGAACATAAAGGGGGTAAAATTATGAAAACTTCTTACGAAACACCTAGCTGGGCCTGGGGGCTCAGGACCATAGTCTCAGGGAACACCACAGTCAACTGACATAACACAGTCCACAAAGACAGTGTTCTACATCCTACTTTTTTGAGTAGCGTCTAGGATCTTAAATGCTCATGAGTGGCCATCTATTGGTCCTTTCCTGTGTGGAGGAAAGAAGAGTGATGAAAATTGAACATGCTTGGAATCACCTGGTCCAATGGACTAAAGGAGCACATACACATCAGTCTCCACGGCCCTGGGAACAGAAGAACTAGATGCTGTTGTTTGCTGTCGAGATGGTTCCGACTCAAAGAGACCCTGTATAGGGCTTCTGAGGAGCGCCTGCTGAGCTCGGACCACTGACCTTGTAGTTCAAACCAACCTTGTAGTCCAGGGCATTAACTCACAACGCCACATCAGGACTCTGAAGAACTAGATTGTGCCCAGATATTCCTACCAACTGTTCTGAGAGGGATCACATTAGAATGTACTAGATAGAAAATGTGCAACAAAGCTCAAAATTATATTAAAAAAAAGCCTAGGCTTACTGGTCAGAGAGAGACTAGAGGAACCCAAGACTGTGGTCCTTGGTCACTCTCTAGAACTCACTCATGGGTCAGTTAGTGGCCAACCAGAAAGAAGACTGACATATAGGGGGGACAAAAATACTAGTGAGGTATGCACTCCAGGGAATGTTCAACTATTCAAGACCAAAAGGGCAGCATTTCCTTAAGGACAAAATTCAGAGGGGTTGGAAAAAAAGTTGAATGAACACAAGAATCATAGGATGGAAGTAGGATAACTGATGCTAGCTACGTGGAGAGGATTCAATCATTGAACTGAAACAGTGTATGATTGGTTGTACAGAAAACTGATGATTAGCTCTGTAAACCTTCACTCAGTTCACAGTAAAAAGTTAAAAAACATGTACATTATGAAAAAAACTATGTCTGCATTTTCTTTCTTGTGCATCAAAAGAAACTCATATTAACTTGTTATAATATTCTGAACATGATGTAGTTTGAGGCACTAAGGATAAGACATCAGTTTGAAAACAGTCCCTGTCATAGCAAGGTGAATTCTGCTAAAATTGAAGTTAGAACTATCATCAAATTTATGGTGAAGTCTGAATGGAAGAATGATGCTTTATGAAAAATCTGTAGAGACAATGACTCAAAGAAACCAGCAATGTACAAATGGACAGCAACTCATTTTAAGACACTAAGACCTGCGGACCACACGTATCAGTTTGTGAGGAAAACTTCACCTCGTTCATGTCCTGAATGGAAGACCGACAATTATCAGCAGAAACAACAGCTACTACCACAGACATCTCAAGAGGTAGAGGACACAATTCTGACCGAAAAATTAAAAAGTTCAGCAAACTTTCTGTAAGATGTGTGCCAAAACTGTTGCACCTAGATTAATAGCAGACAAGAAGAGAACTTTCCATGGAAATTTTAAAACAACTGGGATGAAGATCCGGAAGCATTTCTTTAAAGAATCGTGTCAGGAGCTGAAATACAGCGTTACCAGTACAGTCTAGAAGATAAAGCACAATCAAAGCAATGGCTACCAAGAGGCACAAGAAGCCCAGACTGAGAAAGGCTATCATGGAGACAGGTTTTGGGAAGCTCAAAGCATTTTGTTGGTTGAATTTCTGAAGGATCAAAGAACAGTAACAACTGCTCATTATGAAGGTGTTTTGAGAAAGTGACCCACAGCTTCACCAGAAACATACCTGGGATAAACTTCCCCAGCGAGGTGAGAACGTCCCTGCTGACCCCTATCCTAAAATAGCAGCAGGTCTGTGGGAAATCCTAGGCATCCACTTTATGGTCCTGATTTGGTGTCTTCTAACTTCCTTTTGTTTCCCAAAGTTAAACCGATCTTTAAGGGCACCCATTTTTCTTTAGTTAGTAATGTACCCAGGCTACACTGACACACAGTTAAGATCACAGGACCCTCAGTTTATCAGAGAAGGCCTAAATGGCTGAATTCATCACTTATGAAAGTTAGCTTGAACTGGATGGAGAGTATGTTGAGAAATAAAGTTTATAGTTTTAGTCTTTTAATTCCATTTCTCAATGAACATTTTGTAGGGTCCTTTTATAGCTGGGGGAGTCACACACATATAGGCTCTGAAAAAGAAGGACAAAGTGCTTAAGGAAACCAGGAATGTTGCAAAATTTGGCAAATTTAATATGGTAGGAGAGGAAAATTATAAATATGTCTATGTGCATATATAAGAAATGAGGCTGAGAGATGGAGTTTGAGAGAAAAAGGTTTCTGTTCTGTTAAAAGCTGCTTAGTTCATCTGTTATAAGAAACCATTGAGGCATCTGAACATGGGATGGTGGGATGTAATTTCTGCTTTTCAAAAAGCACTCTGAGGGAGCTCAGGGTGTGTGTGTGTGTGCGTGTGTGCGTGTGAAGAGTAAAGGAGAAAAGCTGAGAGACAGTATGGATGCTCCTGGAACAGACTGGGTCTGAGATGAGCTTTTGAGAGAGATTGAGAAGTAGGAAGCATTAGTGAGGAGTAAGAATGATACAACTTGGCAGTCAATTATGTGTGGGAGGCAAGAAGGAGGAAGGCAACTGGGATAATACCCAGGACAAAGAACAGCGCCAACCAATAGAAGAAGTCGAAGGTGGCTCTGGATGAGAAACTGACAAGCCCCATTAGTATATGGGGTGTTAAGAATACAGCCATGATATACTACATCAGTGGAATAAATGAAAAGAACCACATGATCACCTCTATTGAATCAGAAAAGCATTTGGTAAGTTCAACAACCTTTCTGAAACACTCTAAAGAACACTGGGATAGAAGGTAAATTACCCAATATGAATCAGGGCGTGTATGAAAATTCAGCAACCACCATCATACTGAATGCAGAAAGACTGAGAACTTTCCCTCTGGAATCCACAATAAGAGAAGAGTGCTTGCTCTTATCATTTCTATTCAAAATTATATTAGAATTCTTAGCCAGAGCACTAAGAAATAAAAGGACTCTACTAAGAAAAGAACAATTCAAACTATCTTTATTTGTGGGTAATATAATCCTATTGCTGTTAGGTGACATCCGGTTGGTTCTGACTCATA